CTTTTATGTCATAAGTTATTCTCTTTATAGACGATGTGAACATATATATGTAATGTGGGTGTGCATGCTACATATTCCGTTTTACACGAAACCAATTTTAAGCTTCTTCCAAGAATACTTTTGAGTGTCATCCTTATCTTATGAAGCCATCAAATGAAAGAAGAGATGAAAAGTAAAGCTCCCTCAGGACTCGAACATATCAGAAAAGCAAACCATCAATCGGAAATTCCCAAGACTCCATAAGATTTTCGATCTGTGATGAAAATTGTATCAAAAGTTGGAATAAGTAAAACTGAAACACATATCAAGGTGTATAAGTAATATCTGAAAGACCGGTAAATTGATCTAAAGCTAAAAATGAACAACAAGAGTATTATCTTTTAGGTTAATCTACAAAACCTTTGTCTGNAAAAAAAAAAAAAAAAACTCCATCATACAAAACCTACAACCAATTCTTCCTGATTTGTATTAATGGGATAGCTGTAATTAATTAAAGAAGGTAGCCAGCCTTCTCCATAATTTGGGTAAACGCATTTCCCCTTTTTCCCTATAATTGAACCACTAGTACAACACCCATGTAATAATCAACCCTCATCATAAATAATCAACATATTATTAGATAATCCGAACTTAAATATATTTGGATTAGAAGTAAACTAAATCTACCCAAGCCTAATAACGAAGCATGTATTTTTGCCACATAGGATCACGAAGCATGCGAGCCTGCCACATAAGCTCAGCACGTTCTCAATTAATATATAGGGAGGGATGTCAATCAACTAGAAGACTTTTGGAGCTGTTGGGATGTAAGTGAAATAAGAGAGTGAAGCTTAGTGACAGCACAAGTCCTTTGAGGAGGGCACGGGCACTTGGAAATGGCAACATTTAATGACAAAACAGTCTCATCATACTGAGTATGGGCCGATTTTTTTATTCCCATATTAGGCCTTATAATGGGAGCGTTAGCACGTGCATACTCAAGAGCAACAATGTCAGAATTGATCTCGGCCATAAGTGCCTCAGGTGCTGTGGATACCATCAAACACACTCCACGGACCTTTTTTTTTCTCGATAACCCATATATTTGCATAAACAATTAAAAAGAGCTTAAACTGTTATAAGTTAAAAGTCGATTGCATGGTAACATCCTACAAACATAGTAGATTGAACATGATTAATTCACTAAATAGAGAATGCAACTAACTATTTTAAGAGAACAACGAAAGGAAGCACAAACACAAATACAAATTGTTCGTTTAAATTGACTTGACAATGAAAGACAATCTTTGTTCCATCTTTATTTCGTAAGCCAAGCATTGATAGATCCAAGAGTGAGTTGATAATCCATCAAAAGAGAACCACCCGATATCATGAGCTAATGCATTTGTTCCATACGAAGCAAATTTCTACATAAATGAATAGGCCTTCCAAAAATAAAAAATGCGACAGACTAAAATGTGTGATCTGAAGACAAACAAAATGGGACCTTCAGTTTGGCCGCCTATGCTTTTATACGATTTACCACAGCCTGCTCTGGTTAGAACATTAATTGCTTTACTTTTAAATGGCTTGAATGAAATGAAATGGATTAGTAAATCGTGCACAATAATATATGCTTATTAAGCACAGGCAACAACAAAATAAGGTGCAAGTGGCATCGCAATAATCAGGAATAGCTCAACTACATATCCTCCAACAAAAAGATAAAGATGGTTTGCATCAACACCCCAATCTTGTTAACTTAGAATTTGCTCAAAAATTATGTCATACCAAATGGATCAAGTTCCCTTAATAAATTTTACTAACTACAAAACTACAAAAACAAATAATTAAGGCAAAGAATTATTGATTTCCAAGAGTACCTGCTTGAAGGATAATTCAACTGCGGCTGTTTGGCATTCGGCGTTCGGAAACCGAACTGAGGTAATCAGTTCACCCTTTAGTCTCGACTCTCGAGTAATTCGGCCATTTGTTCGTTTTTT